TCATAACTTGTTTTGTAGTATAAATTCACCGATTTCTGTAATGAGTTGTATTTTTTAAAGTTTACTGTGGAGGAAAGTTTTTTGATAGAACCCAGGGTGTTGCAAGCTTCATAATAGTACTCTACCATTGGAGTCATAATCCAGCCTGTGTTATTTCACTTCAACACTTCAGTTTAATTGGATATAAATAAAAGAATGCATGCTTTTATAGGCCTATGTAACAAGAGATGATATTTGATGAAATTATTGGTTTACTGGAATGCATATGCAATTACAGAATCAAAGAAGCTTAGAATTAAACACAGGGATATAAGCTGTATTTAAACACTGTGTTTCTAAAAAAAAAAAACCTAAAGTTGGAAGAAAATTCCCTTTATGAGTATTATTAAAAGACAGATGGATTCAAAGCTTAGTGTATGCTTATGGAAAAGGCATTATTATATTATGATAAGAACCCTTAACAGGTTGACCCATTGTAACAATGAGATATACAAAACACTATGTTGAAAATGAACTTTACAACTTCTGCAGGGTGGGGGTGGGGTGGGGGGTAATTGTGGAGGTGGGAGGGAAGGGATGGTATGGGTCAAACAAAGGAGGAGACAACAATGCTCAATAGGAAGTGTACTCATTACCTTTCTCATGTAACTGTAACCCCTCCGTACAGTATTTTTACAATTAAAAACAGAACAAAAAATGAACCCTCAAAAGATCAACTCTCTTAGTAATGAAAGCAATTAAAATGTTAAAAATCATCTAGACACTTGATTATAAAAAATTATATATAGATCCTTTACATTTCAGCCTTTACATTTGGTTTAATCCATTTTGAGTTTTTATTATAAGCAATGGGAGACAAGTCTAGATTTGCAAATCATAGTGTTAAGTGAGGTAAGCCAGATACAGAAAGACACATATGGTCTCACACTTGTGGAACCTCAAAAATCTTATCTGATGGTGTGAGGAGTAGAGTTTTGGTTGCTAGTGGGCACAAATAGTAGATGAGAAAAGATTAGCCAATGGGTACTAAGTTATAGTTGGAAGAAAGAATTCATTGTAGGCTATTGCGCAGTAGGGTGACTATAAATAACAATTACGGTATAGCTCAGGAGTTCTAATATTCTGAACATTAGTTATCATCATAAAGAAATGGTAACATTTGTAATCCCAGCTACTCAGGAGGCAGAGGTAGGGAAGATGATAATTTGAGGCCAAATTAGCAAAAAAGTCAGTGAGATCACAAACCTCCCATTCCCAAAGCTGAGCATGATGTATGCTTGTAATCCTAAATAGGTGGGAAGCACTGGTAGGAGGATTTCAATCTGACATTAGTCACAGGCAAATATGTAACAACTTATTTTTCCACAAAAAATGCAAGTGTAAGGGTTCGTAAGTGGTAGAATACTTGCTTAATAAGCCTGAGACCCTGAGCTTAAGTCTTACCACCAAAAGAAATGGTAAGTATTTGAGAAGGTATTTATTTAAACATCAGAATCTGTACATACATCAAACATTACCTAAAATTTTGTTTTTATGCATTAGTTAACATTTACGTTTAAAAATAGTTTTAAAAATAAGGCTCAGTGGTAAAGAATGTCTGCAGCAAGAGTCCTGGGTTTGATCTTTGAGAGAGAGACAGAGACAGAGACAGACAGAGACACAGAGAGGATTATAAAGGCATGGAATGATTTTCTGGGTCCTTAATTCTGTTCCATTGAGCCATTTTTTTTTAATCCGGTCGAGGGGCCTGAACTCTGGGCGTGGGCACTGTCCCTCGGCTCTTCAGCTCAAGGCTAACGTTGAGCCATTTTTTTTTTTAAAGCCAATGTCATGTAGTTTTAGTCACTGTTATTTTGTAGTATATTTGAAAGTCAGGGAGTGCAATGCCTTCAGCTTTATTCTTTTTGCTGAGGATTGTTCTGGCTATTTAAGGGTCTATTTAGTTCATTGTAAATTTTAATATTTTTTTCTTTTTGTGTGGAGAATGTTACTGATATCTTGTCTGGAATTGTATTGACTCTATAGGTTGTTTTGGGTAGTATGGGCATTTAGCAATATTTATTTTCTTTGACCAATATTTTGTAGTATTCATTGTGAAATTCTCACATCCCTTTTGTTAAGTTTATTCTGAGATATATTTATATATTAATTAAATTTTTATTTATTTATAAGCCAGGCATGGGTGGCTCATGCCTGTAATCCTGGTTACTCAGAAGGCTGTGATCTGAGGATCATGGTTCAAAGCCAGCCTGGGTAGGAAAGTCCATGAAACTTTTATCTCCAATAAACTACTACAAAATTGGAAGTGGTGCTGTGGCTCAAGTGGTAGAGTACTTGCCTTGAGATGAAGAGTGCAGGGACAGTGCCCGGGCCCAAAGTTCAAGCCTCATGACTGACAAAAAATTATTTATTTATAAATATATTACCTATTATATAACTATTATATACACTGTATATGCTTTAAGAATGGGGTTACTTTTTATCTTTTCAAAACAGCTGTATATTGACATATAGGAAAGCTATTGATTATTTTGTTAGCTTTACAACTTCATTGAATTATTCATCAGTTCTAACAGTTTTTGGAGGATTGTATAGGATTTACAATAAATATGACAATTTCATCAGCAAGCATGTATAATTTGACTTCCTTCTATCTAATTGAATGCTCTACTTTTTCCTTTTTTTTATTTACATGTAGAAATGTTTCCTCACATTAACTTGGGCAAGGAATTTTTGAATAAGATTACAAGACATACAGGTAAAGAAAGCAAGAATATGCAAATGCTATTACATAAAGCTAGTACTTTTGGACATAAAACTCAAAACTTATGCACAGCAGAGAAACAATCAGCAAAATGAAGAGATAAACTACAAAGTGAGAAACCTATCTGAAAACTTCACTGGACACAGGGCTAATGTGTAGATTGTATAATGAAGTGGGAAGAATTTAATATCAAAAAATAAATACTATAGTTTGAAACGGTCAAAGGATCTGAATGGACAATTCATAAAGACCACATTAAATGGTCAACAAGTACACACAAAAATGTTCAAGATAACAAATCAACCAGAGAAATACAAATTGAGAAGACTGTGACATGCCACTAATGTTTATCCCATGTTTATTCCAATATAAAATAATAGTTTCACTATTCACTTCCTTTGAATTTGGCCTAGGCTTCTAAATAAGGTCAATACAAGAACATGCAGCATTTTTCTTTAGTGTTGCCAAATATCTAAAACACGCGGCCATTGAGAACTGCACTGCTTGACTAAAATAAATCGGTACAGAATTTTTTTTATTAATGCATTTAAGATACATTTTATTTCATATAGATATGAGTTCCAAGAGAGAATAAGACATGTATTAGGAGACACAATGTGATTTTAAAAAATCATAATACTGGGGCTCGTTATAACCCAGGATTTACAAAAGTATTTCCAAAGGCCTTTTCTTGATATTTCAGCTACATCTGTCTTACCATTTGGAGTCAACAGAGAAGTATTAAGACTCTGTGGACTGCATTGATGGAAAGTAAGGCTTGCAATTATTGGATGGTAGATAGGAAATTGTTACAAGAACCTTTAGGAAAAACTTTTGCAGCTCCAGGTCCAGTTATATTGGGCCTATTTATAAACACTTAGCATGTCCACAACTCAGTACTGAGAGGATACAGACACAGATACTCTATGGCTTGAGAAGGACTTGTGTTGAAGGAACTGCTATTCTGGTGAGATATTCAAAACAGGATCTATTTGAGGAAATAAAAGCTCACATGGTTGGGTTAATTAGCGTCATGAAAAAGAGTGAACCTTAAGGAAAAGCACAAGTCCCATTTATATCTGGGGAGAAACAGAGAAGTTTATTTGAAATACATTGTGCATCATAATTACAATTTGATAAAGTACTTCCTTGGGGGAGAGATTTTATACATCTTTTGTACTAGATCATATTTTCAATATTTGAAATCCCAATGTTACATAATTTTTGGTAGTGTTGGACTCAGGTAGATAATCAGTATTTCACTCACATACTCATTAGATTTAGATCTCAGAATTCACACCACTAACATATTTATTTGTTTCCCCAAGTTAAAAATTCAAATAAAACACACTTGTAGGATATTCAAAATTTTGATAATTTTTAAGACTTCCAGGCATATGTTATAAAGAGATCTTAATCCATTATTTTGGAATAACTACTAGGAACTAAAATAAATAAAACTGATTAAACACAGTTACAGTCCATTTAAATTCTGGAAAGTTATATTTCTAAAAGAAATTTTAGGGATGCATATTAAAGTATGATAATAACTCATAGCTAGTGCTTATTTGTGGTTTTATAAACTATCAAAAATTATTAAGAACTATACTGAGAACTAATATTTTTAATGATATTTCCTTTTGGGACACAGGTACAGTTTTAATTATTAAATTCATTACTAACAGAGAAATAATCTAAAGCACATTCAAATATAATTTAATTTCTCCCCACCCACTCTCTCTCTCTCTCTCTCTCTCTCTCTCTCACACACACACACACACACACACAAACTTTTAATTAAGGCAAATATCAATATGTACATTTGGCAGCAAGACAACTATAATCAAAGGTAACAAATGGTTATTCCATGAAGACATACAACTTGTACATCAGTCTGGACTCTATGTAGATGGGATATTTATGATGAGTTTGATATTTAAATTTTGTTTCAGACAATGATATTGACTTTAACTAAACTGATTTTCTTTTGTCTAGAAACAGGCTAATATGGATATTTTTTCATTGGTTTATGGCAAAGGGCTATAAAACATTCCACTGAGGAGGAAGGGATACGGCATTCTCTTAAGTGGAAAAGTGGTGTCTAGGATTCACCGAGTTGCTTGCTTCTTTCTTGGTCCCTTTAGGATTTTGTGCCAATGAATGTATCGTTTCCACACCAGTTCCATATCTAACATTTTATTTGAAAGGTGAGGGCATCCATCCATCTTTACAGATGTCATCGTGTCTTCACCCAAAACTCCTTGGTCAGTGCTCTTCTCAGGGCAGCCTTCACATCTTTGTTTCTCAATGTATAGATAAATGGGTTGAGGGTAGGTGTGACAATGCCGTAAAAGAGAGCCATGATCTTACCCCTGTCACGAGAATAGCTAGAGGGGGGCTGGACATACATACTGATGGCTGTAAAGTAGAACAGGAAGACCACAAGTAAATGTGAAGCACAGGTATTAAAGGCCTTCCAGCGGCTCTCAGCGGAGCGGATTTTCATCACTGCCTGAGCAATAAACACGTAAGTGCCCAGGATGAGAGCGAGTGGTACCAAGAGTAACAGAGCCCCAAGAACATTGAGCTCAGCCTCATTCACACTCGTATCCGTACATGCAAGTTTCAAAAGGGCAGGAACTTCACAGAAGAAGTGGTCTATCACCCTCTGTCCACATCTTGGGACCATCACCGTGAGCGTGGACTGGACAAGAGAGTTAGCAAAACCACTAATCCAGGTACCAGAGGCCATGTGGACACATCGTCTCTGGTTCATGATGACTGGGTAGTGAAGGGGCTTGCAAATGGCTGCGTAACGATCGAAGGCCATGATCGCCAGAAGGAGGCATTCAGTGGAACCCAAGGCCAAAAAAATGTAGAGTTGGGCAACACAGCCCCCATAGCTGATGGTCTTTTCTGGTCCTTTAAGATTGACCAGCATCTGTGGGACAGTGCTGGTTGTATAACAGAGGTCCAAAAGGGATAGATTTGATACAAAAAAGTACATGGGACTGTCAAGCTGAGGATCTAGGCGGGAAACTAGGATAATAGAGATATTTCCGAAGAGGGCAAAGATGTAAGCTATCAGAAAGATTACAAAAAGTGGTGTCTCTAGCCAAGGGCGGTCAGAAAATCCCAATAAGATAAAATCATCTTGTGAGCTCTGATTGCTAGTCCACATGGTGGCATTCGTAGGTGAAATTACAGCTGCGACTTCTAAATATCTGCTGTTGGGGATGGGTATTAGTGCTAAGAAGAAGCCACTGAGGATTCGAGCCCAGAGATGCTGAGATAAAATCCTCATTATCTCTGCCATTTGTACCTAGATCTCAATGATAAAATGCTGTTGTTCATCCATCTATCCAGATTATGGTAAAATGAGGTTAGTATTGTCCATGAAGTATCGAAGGTTTCTGAGAAAAGAACAAATAAAGCACCAGCAATGTAGCTCAGAAATGTTGCTTATTTAACCGTGGCTTCTGGTTAACTACTCCCTCTCTTTGGATTTTGGTATCTTTTTTTTCCTATAAAACTTCAGTAGTGCTGTCATCAGTACTGTGTGGGATAGGTAGTCAGTGGTTGACAACACAGTGTGGATTAAAACAATGGGGAAATGATAGAGCTTCCTTATAAACACCTTGAAGAAAGGATAGGAGGAAGAAGGCAGAGGAGTCTGCAGAAGAGCCACAGCCAAGACACATATTCATCTTTATCACACTGATCTTGTCCAGACACATTGGAGAATTTCATAAACACAACTGGACACAACTGGAGAATTTCATAAAACCTGCATGATGAGAAGATGGTGTGTCAGGATTTTTTTTTTACCCCTTCCAAGCATTAATGGTTGTTGTCCAAAAAACCTAGGAGAAAGATAGATGAAAGAAGAGGAGAAGGAACAGGGAGAATGTAGTCATGAATCCAATATATAGCCTACAAAATTAAGAAAAGTGAGGGAAGGGGTGCGTTGGAAGAGATGGGTGAGAAGGTTTGAAAGGGTGATGTTGATCAAGTTACGTTGTATTCATAAGCTGCTTTGTTAAATGGCAATTCATTTGTACAACTAATTAAAGATAATAAAAAATACCATTAAAATAACACTAAAATAGAGAGAAAGGGAAGGAAGAGGGAGAGAAAGAGAGAGTAAGGCAAAGAAAGCAAAACATTCCAACAGGATAAGAGAACAGTCAGGCTTTAGAAATTTGCTTGCTACAAAAAGCTTTTTAAATAGATCTGGATAAAGTTGATAAAAATTGAATCTCTGATATAAATCACTGGATAGAGTTCCAACTATATGTATTTCTTTGAAACTAAAGCTGTATTGAATTTTTAATCCCATAAAATTTTCATAAGCACATAAGAAAATATTCCCTAACTCATTTCTTTTGGGTCTTATGCATCAATTCCTCTATATCTAACACTTGAGTTGCCTGTGTGAACTCTCTCATCTAATCCATAAAATTCCTTTATGATATAATTTTTGAAAAATAACTACAGTGACCGATTGTTCTACCCTTTATAAATCTGAATTTATATTTGTTAGACTTCTATACTTAGGTAAACAGCCTTGGATATAGGCTTTTGAATCAAGCTATAGTCTCAAAGAAATGGGACAGCTAGCATTGTCAAATTAGAGGATTATTGTAGAAACAGATTTTACTCTAGCATTGAGACAAATTCTTATTTTATGTATGCTTTTGACCCAAATTTTGCCTTATCTATAATCCTCAGTGGAAGGTATCATCTATATTGTAGAGAATATCTTACTTATACAATGATATCCCTCAGTTAGAACTCAATGCCTTGTTCAATGAGAATCCTCAGAAGAACAACTGTGGAACAGCACCTTCATCCGTGTGAATTAATATCTGGCTATAGCTCCTTTCAGAATTTCATTATTCACTTTTCTGCACTCAGATAATGCTTTTGTTTTTCAAGAAAGCCATGTTTCTTCTCCTAGATTTTAAGTTAATGTCATATTCTTACAGTCTTCATATATTATACCATCTCTCTCCAAATAGTCACAATCATTTGTTTCTTCTGCTAAATGCTACTTTCGAGATAAGCTTGGATCATTTTGAATTCTTTATTCATTATTCTAAGGGAACAATAATGTTATTCTTTGATATATGCCTTGATATGAAATATTTATAATACTGATATAAAATGAGTAATAAAAGAATAACAATAGATAAACTAAAAAAGTGGAGCTAAGGCAGGGTGGTGCTATTATCCCTGTGATTTTAGATCTCTGGAGGGTATGAGGGCTGGAGGATTACTTGTCCAAAGTCAGCTTGTGCTGCCTAGTGAACTTAAGGCAAGTCTGCGCTACATAGTAAGATGTGATCTTCAACTTTGCCAGATAACTAAATAAATACACTGAAAATTAGAGGAAAGCACAAGAGAGAAAAAATAAATGTATAGAGATAATAATGCTTGGTTAGATGAGTATCTGTCAATTCTGTGAGTATGGAATGATTTTGAACATAAAGTAGGAAACTAAGATTGCAGGCAAAAGTCTCACACAGGAAATTCAGTTTATTTGCCTGGAAAGGACTATGGGGAGTTCTTGCCTTTCTGACTACATAAGAAAATTATAGGGATTAGTAGAGCTTAATTTACCTAAATAGGAAGTAAAAATATGTTGGAAATCCCCACGAGGGGGAGAAACTGGAGCTGAGAGACGGAGATCTGTGGGTCTCAAGCAAATGGGGTATGCAAAGGAATGAAAGAAAGCAGGAAACAAACTATCTGAAGGGGCCATTATTATCTAGTTTTACTTTTTAATGCACTCTTCATTAACTTTCTCAATAGTCAGATAAAATGTATTAAGACAAAACTGATCTGATAGTTCTATGTTCATGCAATTTTGGACTCACTTTTTCGATATTAGTCATGGTTTTAATCCCTTGCCTTGCCTGTATGATTCTTTTATTCCAGATATGCATAAATTTAAGCAACCTTTAATTTACTCAGAATGGTAAACCTTTCAGACAAAACTCAATATTTTAATATCTCCAAATCTGTAACCTAAATAGTCAACCAAGGGGGAAAAGATAAAAGAGCACACTTAAGAATATTTTAATGACAGTTCAAAAAGAAATGTATTCATTACCTGACCTATCTACCTGTAACCCCTCTGTACATCACCTTTTCAATAAAAGTAAATTAAAGATATTTTAATGAAGGTGTAAGGTTCCCAAAGTCAATAACATAAACTATCATACAAGTATTTTCCTTATAGCTCTCCTTGTTATAAAATACACTGTAACAAGTATTTATAAAACCAGAAGGTTCACACTAGGTTTTCCACACATATAGATTATATATAACTTTATACACACAGGCATGCCTAGATATAATTTTATACTCCTCATAGACATACACACTTTGCTCCTATCATAAGCCTCTGTAGTAAGAATTATATATTTTCATTGTTCCTGACCAAACTCAGGTACAAAACAGGTTACCACTAGTTGAGATGGTCTATCAAGCTCTTTGTGAATGCTTCCATAGGTTGCTGCTTTTGTGTCTTGATTCATAAGCTTCTGCCTGTTGGTGAAACATACATACATATATAGGTACATATATATACACATATATACTAGATGTATACATATACATGTATATATGATAATGATTTGGATTTTAAGAATCTTAGAGACTTTATCTTAGCTGTCATCTATTCTTTATTATATAATATATATATATGTGTGTGTGTGTGTGTGTGTGTGTGTGTGTGTGTGTGTGTGTGTGTGTGATTTATCCTCCCCACCCCCAAAGCAGAGCTAACTGTCACATGGCTAGTTAATTGTTGATAATTCCAGAATATGGTGCTTGGGCTAGTGTAAACATGAGGTTCTATAGCACTTGCCCAAATTGATGGAGTTAGTAAACTCAGAAACAAATATTTGAATAATAGATTTTTGAAAATTTGATGGGTACCATTTCTCTGCCTTCAAGCAAAAATGCAGACAACTAACAGAAACAATCTTTTCATTGTCTAAGGAAAGTTTTATTTTGTGGTTCTGGCTATGAGTAATCCTTTTAGCCCATCTTATGAGGCCATGACCAATACAAGGTAACTGTGACTCACCTTCCCTCCCAAATCTCCTCTGCATTTACCTGTTTCTAGGATGTGATCCCTCCATTGGTGGAGTTTGTAACATAAGGATGAAGAATGATGGAAGATTGACTTGTGGCTCAAACATGATATTCAGACTGGTTTGTGTTTGAATTTCTTCTTAGAATCAACTGACTGAGTACTCTTTGACCTACCGAAAAGTCAATTTTAAGAAACCATCTCCAATTTATGGCTATCCTTAGAATCCATTGATACATAAGGGAGATTTCCCATGAGTTCCCATGCCATTTCCACCTTAAACTCATCCTGTATTTAGCCTCTGAGACTCAGCATAATTAGTACCTGCTGCCGCCAATATGTCCAGGAGAAAATAACCAGAGGGACTAGAGGGTGGGGAACCCTCAAAAGCAATAAAATATTCCTGTCAAAATGCAAACTTTGCCAAGCAAGTTTGGCGAGTCACTAAAGAAGAAATTTAATCAATTCCAGGAAGACCTGGGGTTGTCTCAGGGGTTGTCAGTATGGATTTTTTTTTTTCTGGTCCAGGAGCTTGAACTCTAGGTCTGGGCACCGCTGTCCCTGAGCTTCTTTGTGTTCAAGGCTAGGGCCCTACCACTTGAGCCACAGAGCCACTTCCAGCTTTTCCTCATTAGTTTTTATTGGACTTTCATGCCCGGGCTGGCTTTGAACTGCGATCCTTAGATCTCAGTATCCTGAGTAGCCAGGATTAGAGGTCTGAGCCACTGACGCTTGGCGTGTTTTTTTTTAAATGATTCTTAATAATTTAGATTACAAAACAGATCAAGTGTCCATTTGTAGGTGTTTACTATTTTGAGAAAAGTAGAATAATGTCACATGGCTGTGATAATCTTTCCAAAATATCAATTTTCCACATTTCTACCTATAATGGCTCCTTACTTTCTATAGTTATTATATAAAATATCTTATAACTGTAACCTATTAATTCATTTGGTAGGCACCATCACTGTATAAATTAGCAAAATATATTTTATTATTCATATTTAGATGGTGGCTATTCTAAAACAGAAAAAAAATCAAGTGAATTGTCTAAGATCATAACCTGGGACACAAAGTAA